TCAAGCCTCTCTGAACATGAAAATAAAGACATCCAAATTGGGAAAGAGGACGCAAACTAGTTCTATGCACAGATGATATGATCTTGCATTTAGAAAATCTTAAGGAATTCACTAAAAAGCTCTAGAACTAATCCACAAGTTTACAAAGGTTGCCTAATACAAGATCAATACACGAAAATAAATTGTATATGTTTTTGTGTAGACATGTTTTCATTTATCTTGGTTATATACTCGGAAGTGAAATCGTTGGATTATATGGTAAATATGTTTAATCATTTGAGGAACTGCTAGACTGTTTTCCAAAGTGGCTGCCCCATATTACATTCCTCCCAGCCCTGGAGGGTTCCGAGCTCCCCACATCGTCACCAACACTCCGTATGATCTGTCTTTTTGATTCCAGTCAATCTGATCCGTGTGAAGGGCTATCATGCCGTGGTTTTGATTTGGGTTTCCTTGATGATTAATGACGCTAAGTGTTTTTTCATGTACTTACTAATCATCTGTATGTCTTCCTTGGAGAAGTGTCTGTTCAGATCTTGTTGCCTATCTTTTAATGGGTAATTGTCTTTTTATCATTGAGCTGTAAGAGCTTTTCACATATTCTAGGTGTAAGTCCCTTATTGTATCTGATTTGCAAGTATTTTCTCCCATTCTGTGGGTTTTTAACTGTCTTGACAGTGTCCTGTGATGCACAACAGCTGTGGATTTTTGTTAAGTCTAGTTGATGTATTTTCTTGTCATTCCTGCTTTCGGTGCCACATCTAAGAATCCACATCTGAAGTCGCAATGATCCTCCACTGGTTTCTTCTGAGAGTTTATGGTTTTAGTTCTTACATTTAGGCCTCTCACCCAGTTTTGATTCATTCTTGTGTATGGCGTGAGGTGAGAGTCCAACTTCATTCTTTTGCATGAGAAGAGAGAGTTGTCTCAGCAGCATTTATGGAAAGACTGTTCTTTCCTCATTGAGTGGTCTTGGCCCCTTTGTTGAAAATACATTGATTATAGACACACGGACTTATTTCTGGACCCCCGTTGACTTCCATGTCTATCTTTATGCGAGTGTAAGACTATCTCGATTACTACAGCTCTGTAGTAAGTTTGAAATAGGTGTGGAGTCCTAATTAGGAAAGGGGAGTCAGGCTGGTGGGACCAGGGGAAAGCAGAGATAAAGCAGGTAAGTGACAAGTCGGCCTTTCCTCAAGTCTAGGACACACAGCCCTCCCAGCAAACAGCTCACAAGTTCCTGTGCAGAGCCATCACCAGGCACCACAGTTAGCTCACGGCAGCCTCGGCGTTATGGTGCCACACAAACCCTCTTCTGATAAATGCCACCTGTAAAATCTCTGGCAAGCCTTGGCCTTCGCACAGCCAGCCTCTCTGCTCAGGACTGCCTGTTGCCTCCTCGAAACGTATTTTCCTTCTTTCTCTCATAAACCTGCCTTTCTTTACCTACAACTGTCTTGGAAAGTTCATTACCCCCATGCTGCTGGCTGAGACAGCCATTGCTCTCCAGTGGCCACAGGGACATGTGAGTCCTACTACTTTGATCTTCTGTTTCAGGATTGTTTTGTCTAATTTGTGCCGGCTTCTACGTAGAAGCTGGCTGCGGTTCTAATTGGGATTGTATTGAATTTGTAGATTGGGTTTGTGACAGTCAAATGCCCAGAATCTCTGCCCCGTCCCACAAGTGTTTACACCAGATGCTTTTGTGCAGATGAGGGAGCCCGCACGGAACCTTGTCTGAGCCACATGCGCTCTGGGGAAATGGGGTGGAGCCCCAGGCAGGGGAGGAACCTGACCTCTTCGGTTTCTGTATGGTGGCTTGGGATTTGACTTGTGAGGTGGGAGCTTGTTGGCAGGACTCCATCTTGCTTTGTTGAGTTTTTTTTTTTTTTTTCCTTTGTTGCCCAACAACGTCCTGCTCTACTCACCCTTCAGTGTGTTCACGTGCCTAGATTTTCCTGGTCATATGACGAGAACCCAGTTTTAGGTGAACTAAGAAGCAAAATTCTACAATAGTTTGTATATTGCCGTCTTGACAGCAAGGCTTCTGAATCCACAAACGCGGGATATTTTTCCATGTATTTAGCTCTTCACTTGTTTCGGATGACGTTTTGTGTTTTGGGAGTACAAATTTTGTACTTCCTCTGTTATTCCTAAGTACCCATTCTTTGGATGCTTTTGCGAATGGAATTTTCTTGGGTTTCATCTTCAGATTGTTCACAGCAAGTATGTAAACATACAATTGATTTTTGTGTATTGACCTTGTATTCTGCAACCGTGTTGAACTTGTGGATTGATTCTAGAGCTTTTTAGTGAATTCCTTAAGATTTTCTATATGCAAGATCATGTCATCTGTGACTAGAAACACCTTGCTTCTTCCTTCCCAATTTGGATTCTCATTTTCACGTCCATTGAGCCTTGCACTTTTCTAAATTCTGTTGCAAATGAAACCATCCCTCGGGGAAGAGAATGGGAGCTGTTATGAGGGTCTGCTTCTTCCTCTGGGCAAAGTCTCAGAGCCCTGGAGCTCGTATGGGGACAGTGGCAGTCTTCTCTCTGAGTGACACCCGAGGCTCTGTGCGCCACTGTGTGTGTGTTGGAGGGACACACAGGTCTTAGCTTGCTTCTCCCAGCATGGAATCAATGCCTGTGAACCAGACCCAGGGGATCGGGGGTCCTGGGTTCTTAGGAGCACCATTCCCAAGGCTGCAGGCTGAGTATCCATTCCACAAACAGGGGCTGAGCAGAACAAGAGCATCTCCAGCTTGGGGCCACACTCACCTGGGATTTAGTCTCAGCAACAGGCAGCTGCAGACAAGGTAAGACAAGCAAGGCCCTGCCCCTTCCAGGAAGAAGGCCCTTTGACTAGGAGCTGTGGGGAGCGGAACTTGTGTGCTTGGCTGCAGCTTCTGGAGTGTATCTGCATTGCTGAGCTGGGAGCAGTGGGGAGAGAGCAGGTTTTAGCTCAAATACCAGGGACATTTGCTGTTCTTGCCAAATTACAAAGTAGCTTTTCTTGAATAAATGTCTCTTCTTAGGAACATATAGCAGAGATTTTAAAGGATTGGTTTTTAATCCTTTACAAAAGTTTCGCTGGAAAGTGGGTTGAGGGAGCTCCTCGTGCGGTCATTCTGGGGGTCTCTCACCTGGCTTCCTTTGGAAATCCTTTGTCGTTGAGCTTTCAGTCTCGGGCAGAGGAATTTAGCTCCAATTTTTCATTTCACGGAGACTCTCATTGCAGCCTTACTTGTGATAGCCCCAAACTGGAGCCACCCAAATGCTCGTCAATAGTGAATGGATAAAAACGTTGTGATAGATCATGACTCAGTGACATTGTGCTAAGGGAAAGGCAGACAAAATGCAGACACTTGATGAACCTATGCACATCAAATCCAGAAAGTGCAATGGCGCTCACAGGGAACCTTTGACAGGCGGAGGGTGGGAGCTGGAGGACTGACAGGGAAACCTGAGGAGGGGAGTGATGGGGTGCTGGTGTCATGGATGTATCGTATGACAAACCTATTACACGCACTGTGAATACGTGTCTACTGTATGCCAACCACATCTCAATACAGACATGAAAACTGAAACCAGGAGTGAAAGTCCCGTGTGGGCTCTATAGTTTGTCTCATCATGTTGACTTTTGCTACTGGCTGGCCAGCTAGCTAGACATATTTATTCCATTCAATCAACTGGTCTGCAGTGCTCCAGAAGCAGCCGAGGCTCCCCTGAAAATGGACTGTTTCTCTCCAGCATTGTGCATTAACTTGGCAAGTGTCCTTTGTTAAAGAATGGAATCAACTGAGACACGAAACGGCCACGTATCAAGCACCAAACTGATGCATTCTTGACAAAAACGGTTGACTTTCCTTTGGCTTCCGCTGAAGCCCTAGGAGCCTTCGGTGAACCATCTCTGAGGCAGCTTTGCTCTGGTTGGGCCTTTGAAGGAACCCAGCATGCAGGACCACGCAGGGCCTGCCTGAGCTCGGAGCAGCGCCTTCCCAGTGGTGCACCTTGTGGGGCCTGCAGCCTTCCTATATCACACCCCTCAAGGTACCTGAGGATCCATTATATTTTAATTTATTATAAAGTCTGAAGCCACTATAAGCTTCTTGGGGACAGGTACAGGCCAAAGATCTTAAAAGGCTCAAGCACTTCTGGAGCAAAAAATCCCTTCATTAGAATGAAGTATCACAATCATGATCAAAATCTTGCACTTACAGGGAAAGGGCCATGGTGTAACTCTGAGGTGATTCTAGGATGCGTAAAATGCAGGACAGAGGTTACTGACCTTAGACCAGAGGGGCTTTTAGGACTCGCAGTCGAGCAATTATAAGGTGGTTTTAAGGGTATGAAATCCTGCTGGTCTTCATCTTTATAAGGGCAGAACTCCACCTCTGGGTAAAAAGTGAGGCCGTGAAAGCAGTACCAGCATCCCAGGCTGGACCCACATGGCTACATGACCTTCAGTGTGTTTTCCAGAAAGATGCTGGACATACTGGTCTGCTGACAGAAAACCAAAACCTTTGTTGCTTTTGAAAACCGACACCTTTGAGAACTGCGTGATCAGGGCTCGGGCACAGCCTGCATTCCCTGCCACCGAGCGGCAGCCTCGGCCAAGTGGTTGCCTCCCAGTGCCTCTGTTTCCCCCTCTCCTGTGAGAGACGCAAGAGACTGCCACACAGGGCCGTGTGAGGGTGTGGAGTCAGGTGTGTTAGCAGGTTCAGAGGAGTGCCTGGCACATGGCAGCTCACGGCTGCTAGCTATAATTTTGGGTCCCCCTTTAGTTGCAGGTTGCAGAAGCAGTCTAGGAGTCTCAAGTAAAACGTAGCATCGCAAACCGCCGAGGAAAAGGGCATTCCTCGGAGGTGTGGCTCTTTTCAGGAGAGGACAGAAACGCCTCAACTCCGACCCACGGGCAGCTCTTCTGCTCCTCCCCAACCCCCTCCTGGCACTGCAGTGTGGAGCCCGTGGGATGGCAGGAGCCCCTCCCTTACCTCCTGTGTGTGGAGTTGTTTTTGCTGCCAGCCTGTCTCCTGGTCCTCATGACAGAGGCCACCTTCTCCAGAAGCAGGAGGTTGTCCCTCTGGATGATGGAGAGCCGTTCCTCCTCCAGCTGCAGACAGAGAGGGGGCTGGCGAGCATCTACACTGATGGCGAGGCCCCTCCTCATGCCACATTCCTGTGACTTGAGTACCCTGGAAGTCTTATGCTGCCTCGTCTCATATCGGCGAGTGTGCTGTTGTGTCTCAGCGGGGACGGTGCCCACCAGGACACACTGTCAAACTTCAGCGGGGACCATACACACAGGGACACGCTGTGACACCTCAGCAGGGACCGTACACACAGGGACATACTGTGACACCTCAGCGGGGACCGTACACACAGGACACACTGTGACACCTCAGCGGGGACCGTACACACAGGGACATACTGTCACACCTCAGCGGGGACCGTACACACAGGACACACTGTCACACCTCAGTGGGGACCGTACACACAGGACACACTGTCACACCTCAGCGGGGACCGTACACACAGGGACACACTGTGACACCTCAGCGGGGACCGTACACACAGGACACACTGTCATACCTCAGCGGGGACCATACACACAGGGACACACTGTGACACCTCAGCGGGGACCGTACACACAGGACACGCTGTCATACCTCAGCGGGGACCATACACACAGGGACACACTGTGACACCTCAGCAGGGACCGTACACACAGGACACGCTGTGACACCTCAGCGGGGACCGTACGGACATACTGTCACACCTCAGCAGGGACCATACACACAGGGACATACTGTCACACCTCAGCAGGGACCGTACACACAGGGACATACTGTCACACCTCAGCAGGGACCGTACACACAGGGACACACTTAATAAAGATAGAGCTATTTTATTCCATTATAAGAAGAGAATATTTGAGCCCAGAGGAAAAGAATCTGCCTCTTGGTTTAGGCATCTAAGGGGTCGATCTGCAGATAAGCTCAAGACTGGTTACTGGGCTTCTGTTCAGCTCATTTACAACACTGTTGCTTAACAGGCACATAGAAAGCCCACAGCATTTTGTCCTGGAGGCATTACTTTGAGATAACCACGCAGTTCTCACTCATCAAATGACCTAAACTGCAAGAGAGAAACAATGCCTGTAATCCCAGCACTTTAGGAGGGAGAGGCAGGCAGATCTCCTGAGGTCAGGAGTTCGAAACCAGCCTGACAAATGTGGCGAAACTCTGTCTCTACTAAAAATACAAAAACTAGCCAGGCGTAGTGTTGAGCGCGCCTGGAATTCCAGCTACTCAGAGGCCGAGGCAGGAGAATCACTTGAACCTGGGAGCTGAGGCTGCAGTGAGCTGAGATTGTGTCATTGCACTCTAGCCTGGGCGACAGAGTGAGATTCTGTCTCAAAAACAAACAAGACATCCAGCATTCTGAGGTGGTTAAGAAATGGTTTACTGTGAAGAAATGACGTTATCTGGAACAGCACTGAATAGTTGTTACCGTGAATCCACTCCCCTTCCCCCTAAGACATGATGTGTTACATAAACCACAAATAAAATTCTAAACGCCTCCACAACCCCCAGCCAGCTAAACGGACCCCTCCCCTTGGCCAAGGGCATTCCTAAGTTACCCCGACAAACTGTTCGGGCCGTGACGGGAAGTGGGGTTGGACATGCCTCATTACGCCCTCCTTCCGATGGAATTCAGGCACAGGTGACCAGCATTACGGTTAAAGCGAGACCTTAAGACTGACGAGACTCTCTGCAGCACTAAGATACCAACGTGATAGGTAGCAGGCCTTAAAAGCATTATAAGTATTTTATCCCCCCAAATATTTTTTGACTTGTTTTGAAATGGCCCTGCAAAGCTGTCTCTTGTGAAAAATCTACATTCTGTAGAGAATCTCCTTCCCTTTCCAGGTCTTCATGATCCAGGAGGGAATTTACTAAGAGTCTGGCACCTTCTAAAGTCTGACGAGAAACATTTACAATTTATTTCCCCTGAAGCCTGCTACCCGGAGGCTTTGTCTGCAGGATAAGAACCTCGATCTCTGCAACCCCCTGTCTTAACCCAGACACTCCCTTCTATTGATTCAGGGTCTTTAAATTCTTTCAACCAACTGGCAGTCAGGAGATCTTTGAATCCACCTATGACCTGGAAGTACCCCTGCCCCCACTCCAAGCTGTCCTGCCTTTCTGGACCAAACCAATGCACACCTTACACGTATTGATGGATGTGTCAAGTCTCTGAAATGCACAAAACCGAGCTGTATCTTGAACACCCTGATAGCATGTTCTCAAGGACTTCCTGGGGACGTGCCACGGGCATGTCCGTAGAGTTGGTGACTGTCCAAATTGATCAAGCCCTGTGTCACATACTTCTTGGTGTTCCATCAGCATGGCGACGGGGGAAGATTTCTGCTGTAATTTCCAAATAGCCTCCTCAGGGACAGCTGGGGCTACTTCATCACCTACACTGCATTTTACCTTTAGTGAGTTTATTCCTAACGAAACCTGCCTTTTCTGTTTTCCTGGGCTTTTAAGCGGCATTTTCTAGTCAGCTATTATGTTAAGAAAGGTAGAAATGAAAGTGTACCTTCAGCCTCTTGAGTTTCAGCTGAAGGTGGCGGAACGTCAGCGGGGCGCAGGTATCCACCAGCGGCTGGGCGCTCTGGACCTGTGGCATGAGGAGGCAGCGTTACCTGTGCGCAGTGTTGCAGAGAGTGAGCTCAGACCGTGCAGCTCTGGGGCCTTTCATGGCACCAGAGATTCCACATCAGCCCATGGCATGAAGTTCTGAAAGAGGCTTGTGCTTAGATTCGGAATCTGGGTATCTCCTGGAGGGAGCCAGGCACCCTCAGAAGTGAGCCTCCATTTCCTTTTAAAAGAGATAATTAAGTGGGCGCAGGGTGGGAATTCATTAAATGCCAACCACCTGATGACATTTCTAGCCTGCACTCTTTGCCAAGAGGCCTTTTATACAGTGAGTTATGTCCCTGCAACCAGGCTCTCCACCAGTACTTCAGGATGAGCACCTTACGCATAAGTTTGTGTACAGCAATCTCTAAAGTTTCCAAGTGGGAAATTTACAAATAAGGGAAACATTTATATTTTAAAATGCAACAGGTTAAATGTGTGAGACCTCTATGCATCACTGCCTGCAATAAAAAGGAATTCCTGCACATTCTGGAATGTTTCTTTACAGATTGATAACCACGGAACCTGCTCATGGATAACCTGAAGGCGACAGCATTGGGAAACTCCCATTGGGAAACTCCACCCGAGCACGTGGAGAAGGATGGCCGGCCTGGGGACGGAACCCACGGGATGGCGGCCTGGGGACAGAACCCACGGGATGGCCGGCCTGGGGACGGAACCCATGGGCAGGGTAGTGACAGCATAGAGGATGGAGAAGATGCAAAGAGACGTCAGGAGGTGGAGAAAGGGCTGGATGGTGAGGTGTGCACAGAGCAACAGAGCACACTTAGGAACTGCAACTTGGCCCCCAAAGAAAAGGGAAGCATTGAGAACAGAGGCAGAGGAGTGATGTGGTCACATGGTCACTTTTTACAGCCTCCTCTGTCACTATGTGTGAACGCAGAGAAGCCTGAAAGAAGGTGGGGAGGCCAGTGCCAAGGCTCCTGTGGTCATCCAGGGAAGAGGCCCGGGCCTGCAGCATGCTCAGGGCTGTGGGGCCACTGGGTGGGGGACCTGGCAGGAGCCATGCCCAGGTGTGGTGTGCATGTGTGGGGGGCGTGAAGGGAGAGAAAGGAATGAAGAATGCCGTCCGCTTCCAGCTTTCATGTGTGGTGACACTAACAGTGTGTTCGTGGTGAGCGGGTTTGGGGTATGTACAGTGAATTCTGAGTTAAACATGTTTAATCTGAGATGCCTACACAGAGCTTTCTAGAAGCAAGTTCCTTCAAGCTCCAGATAAAGATTTGAGGTCCATGACTGTTATTAAAAACGCCACACTAGTTTGCCTGATGGCAGAACTTGTTGACCAAAGCTTTTGGAACCCCTCGATGTTATCTGATGTTGCTTCTTGTTTAATTTAAACGTTAAGTACAAGGGGGAAGGGAGGGCTTCCTTTCAGCAAAGTGTCAGTTGGTAAATGTAGAGGCAGTGGTGTGGTCGAAAAATCACCATTTTGGAATCATCATTGCAGAGAGTGGTTTCGGCAAAATCATCAGTGAACGTTTGCTCTTAGGGGGGATGAGTGCCCCCAGCACAGTGCTTACTAGTATAAAAAACAGAGACCCAGCCTCCCTTCCTCGTTTGACTGGGACTCACGTAAAAAGGCCCATATTGTCACTGTTCGGTAAGTCTCTTATGTCTACTGTATAATTTCCGTGTTTATCGCCCTACAATTTGCTATGAGAAATCCAGGTAATTGGTCCTGTAGAGTTTCAGAGTTTGGATTTTGCTGATCCCACGCCTGACATTTTCTGCGTATCGGCAGTTAGAAATTCAGGTTCGTTTTTTTCCCTTTTTAAACCATTGGTGATACAGTGACATTTTACTGGCAGGTACAAATTTCTGCTTGTCTCTACCTTGTGACGTTAGCAGCAGTGAATGATCCTTCATTCATTGCTTGATTACGGTTTGAAAAATGAAAATGTTCTAATTCCATCATTCGATCTACATTTATATGCTGAAATACTTCTATAATGAAAAGCTTTGCATTGGCAGGAAAATTACTAGGGTTTCTCTGTTTGCCAATTTTCAAAACAGTAAGTTGGTTCTTATTACCTTCCGAAGATGACTAGTGAGGTTTTTTATTTTAAAGACATTAGGAAGTATAATGTTAAAACATATTTGACATGTTTCAATCTATTGCATTGACTTTGGCAAGGCACCGTGGCTCACATCTGTAATCCCAGCACTTTGGGGGGCCAAGGCAGGTGGATCAACCTGAGGTCAGGAGTTCAAGACCAGCCTGGCCAACATGGTGAAACTTCATCTCTACAAAAATAAATTAGCTGGGCATGATGGCAGATGACTGTAATACCATCTACTTGGGAGGCTAACGTGGGAGAATCACTCAAACCCCGGAGGTGAGATCACACCATTGCACTCCAGCCTGGGCAACAGAGTGAGACTCTGTCTCAAGAATAAATAAATAACTTCCTTATTGGTGCTCAACTTGTCCATCTTTGTCCAGTGAGAACCTCCTCCAGTGGCTCCTGGGAGTTTTCCACACAACCTAGTAGACTCAACAGGCTCCTTGGCTTCTAGAGTGACAAGGTAATGCAGGCTTATTTTGCATATATCCTACCTCAACTTGGGATCAGCCATTTCTACCACTGTGCTCTGGCTCTCGTGGTGAGAAATGGCCTTTGAGTATTAGTCACTGTAATTAGGGGGCTGCTGCCGTTTCCAGCCCTTTGCAGTGGAGAGAGCCCATGGTCCTTCTGATTCCAGTTCCGGCCTGCATTCCTCTTTGCCTCATTGATCTTACTTCTGCATTTCATTCTTCCCAAGTGCAAATTCCCAATTCTTCATGACACCAACAGAATTACTCATTTGTTTTCTCCCAGTGTGAACACAGCAATCTGGGCTGGGCATGGTGCTCAGCCTGTAATCTTTGCACATAGGGAGGCTGAGTCAGGAGGATCGCTTCAGCCCAGGAGTTGGAGACCAGCCTGGGGAAAACAGTGAGACTTCAGTCTCTGCAAAAAATTTAAAAAAAAATTAACCAGTCATGGCGGCATATGCCTGTGGTTCCAACGACTTGGGAAGCTGAGGTGGGAGGATTGATTGAGCCTTGGAGATGGAGGCTGCAGTGAGCCATGGTCACTCCAGCCGGGGCCACGGAGTGAGACCTTAGCTCAAAAAAAAAGATTAGAAATAATACTGACATGCCACCACTACTGTGATTACTGAAAATAGCTTGATTTTCTGACATTGTTTTGTCATTAGAGGATCTCACGATGAATATCCACGACTCAGTTTCAACGGCAGCTGGAAGAGTTAGCTCCTCTCAGGTACGGCTGTGGCACCCATTACATCCGCACTTAGGCTCATTTTATTTCCAGTATTTAGAAACGCTTTTTAAATTTAATTTTGTTTTGTAGTATGTAAAACGTTACGTGGCACCAGAGCCAAGTGTGCCAAACAACTTCTTCCAAGACGTCTAAGTTCTATACGCTCATCTTCACCCTGTTCTGTTGACGATTCTTCTGGTTTTAGAGTTACTCTTTACATTCCTCAAAATATAAGAACATAGAATATGTGTTTATGTGCACACATATTTATTACACATATGTGTGCGTATGTGTTTATGTGTACATATATTTATTACATATATGTGCTTGTATATGTGTTTATGTGCACATGTATTTATTACATATATATGCTTGTATATGTGTTTATGTGCACATGTATTTATTACATATATGTGCTTGTGTGTTTATGTGCACATGTATTTATTACATATATGTGCTTGTGTATGTGTTTATGTGCACATGTATTTATTACATATATGTGCTTGTGTATGTGTTTATGTGTACATATATTTATTACACATATGTGATCCTGTATGTGTTTGTGTGTACATATATTTATTACATATATGTGATTGTGTACGTGTTTATGTGCACGTGTATTTATTACATATATGTGCTTTTGTATGTGTGTATGTGCACATGTATTTATTACACATGTGCTTGTATATATATATATATATACATTTCATCCCCTTTTTTAGATAAACATTGTATATTTTACACATTTTTCTCCACCTCGCTTTTTCCATTAAACAGAACATCCTAGAAATAACGTTAGAGTAGTAGAGAGACATGTTTCTCATTCCTTTTTAAAGCATCATACTTTATTGTGTTAAAAGCACCTTAATTTATTTACCCAGCTCCCTGATGGACATATGGGTTGGTTCCCATTTTGCTATTACAAAAAATGCTGCAATTAAAATATTTTACAACACTGTTTTGTATCTTTGCCAGTGTATCTTTGAAATTGGGACTGAGCGTGAAAGGATAGATGCCCGTGTGACTGTATGAGATTGTGCTCACTTCTCCCGTAGGTCTGGGCTTTGCCCACCATCAGCATCGTATGGCCATGCCTCTTCCCACAGAACCCGGCCACGAACATTTTGTATTTTTGCCAATCTAATATTTGAGAACTGGTATTAGAGTGAGTTTGATTTGAATTTCTCTATAATACGGAAGCTGATAATCTTTTTATAAGTTAAGATCTATTTGTTGGCTGGGTGCAGTGGTTCATGCCTGTAACCCCAGCACTTTGGGAGGCTGAGGCAGGATGATTGCTTGAGCCCAGGATTTTGTCTTTATTTTTTTAAAGAGCTATTTACAATTTTTTCTCTGTGAACTTTTGTTGATACCACGTGCCCATTTTTACGTGGGATGGTTTGCATTTTTCTTCCTACTTTTAGAAGTTCCTTATATATAAGGATAAGAACCCTTTATGACACACATTTACATATAACCCTTACTTTCAGAAATCCATATATATATGAAGTACATACATCCATATATGCACTTCTGTATGTATATGTATGTTAAATATATGTATACATGTTTGTTTGTTTTTGTTTCCACTCAGCCTGTTTTCTGGGCCATGCAATATGTCTTCTTAATTTAGTCACATTTATCAAAAAATTCCCCTTGTTACTTGTGGGTTTTGAATTATGGCTAGTAAAATTTCCCCTAACCCCAAGTTATAGAATAATTTGCCTACCTTTTCTTCTAGTATGTGTGGAGTTAAATGAATTGAAAATTTGATTATAAAAAATGTATCTTTCTATAGAGTGTGTGTTGTACAGACTGAATTTTGTTCTGTCAAAGCTCATGTTCAAGCTCTAACCCCAATGTGACTGTATCTGCAGACAGGGTTGTCAGGAGGTAATTAGGTTAAACGAAGTCCTACGGAAGGAGCTCTAATCCCGCAGGACTGTGGCCTTATAGGAGAGGAGGGAGAGCACTACCTTTCTGCCACTGTGGACACAGAAAGGGCAGCCACCTGCGAGTAAGGAAGGGAGCCTCACCAGGAACCTCGTCCTGCCAGAGCCCACTGTGGATTTCACAGCCTCCAGAGCTGTGATAACATGAATTTCCATTGTTTAAGCCACTGAGGCTCATGTTGGTTATAGAAGCCTAGGCAGACTAAGATGGATTTTGGAACCAAGAAGTGGGCACTGCTGTAACAAATACCGAAACATGTGGAAGCAGCTTTGGAACTGGGCAATGGGTAGACAAGGAAAAGTTTTGAGGCGCATATGAGAAACATGAATGCTAAGGTGACTCTAGTGAGGGTTCAGAAAAAGAGAAGAACTTGGGAGAAAGCTTGTATCTTCCCAAGAAATACATAATAAATCATGAATGGAGAGTTGGTAAAAATATGCATCTTAAACTGCAGTTGGATGGCCCATATTCTCCCCATCATATCTCCATCCTCTGCTGGAATCTGGCTGAGTCCAGGGTTTTTATGGGCCTCAGGGCAGAGGAAGTGCATGCTGATTGGTCCATGGGTGGCTATAGGCAGGCCCAGGGAAAAGCACCACAAGTTGCCCCTCTGGATTGCAGGACTGGCAGCTGGGCCCCCAGGCTTCAGGCCCTTTCCAGATTGAAGGTCAGGCTTCACTAGGGACCTGCCCCTTCTTCACAGGAGCCCATCTGCCTCCTGTTGCTGTTCATGGCACCCAAGAGGCACTGCAGGCCAGCACCATGCTGTCCTCTGTGCCCCTCAGCCTCCCTCCTGCACTTGCCAGTGCCCAGAGTCTGGAGGGGCCAAGGTGGCAAGGGGCTGGCATGTCAGTTCTGCCCTAAGTGTGGGCACACCCAGGGCACGGGCTGTGACAGTACACAGCCATTCATTCCTTTTGCCCCTTTCGCCAGGTGAAGATGCAGCAGCAAGGCGCCATCTTGGAAGCAGAGAGTGACTTCATCAGACCAAACCTGCTGGTGCCTCAGCCCTGGGTTTCCCAGCCTTCTGAATTGTAAGAAGTGAATTCTGCTGTTTATAAATGACAATCTGTGTTATCTTGTTTTAGTAGCAGAAATGGACTAAGACAGATGTTTTAATTGATATATCCTGAAACTCAGGATTTTTTCCTCAGCAGTGCCTGTCTACTAACAAGCTCATCCAAGGAGAAGTCCAGGTGGCACAGGGAAGGGGAAAAAGGTGTTTCAGGAGGTGGCAGCCAGTGCAAGACTGGAGGTGACTTTGTGGGCACGGCCAGCCTGGCTGTAGGGGCAGGTGCACTGTGGAGTGGTGGGCAGGAGCCACTCAGACCCTGAGGGTGAAGGCTGGGCTGAGGACGAGACCCCTGTTCCAGGAGGGCAGTCATCAGGGGACTGGGGTGCATTGCTCTCCCACAGATCTTTTTTCTCCTTTTATTCTATCAAGGTCCTTTATAGTTTCAGAGATTCTCAGCCAAGCAATAAGAAACTAAGTTATTCAAAGCGCAGACTCTCTACTCTTATTTGGGAGAAGCTTTGTTTTCATGCAAGTTTTAGTGCCCGTTGGAGACCTGTGGGGTGTCAGAGGGGCCCTGCCATGGGGCTGCTTCCAGCCCCTGCTGCTCTGTACCCTTCTGGTCACTCAGTGGGGCCTGTAGCACCAGGGCTAATGAGCTAAATGAGCCCCACCGCTGTGGGACAGCCCTGCCAGCTGCCTGGACCTCCTTTCCCAGGCCTCATGCACTGCCCTTGCGCCCTCAGCACACTCCTGCCAGGACACCCGGGCGTCAGCAGCAGCTGTGCCTGCGTCCCCAGGAAGCAGTGCTTTCATTGCCCTGTTCTTCACTACACCCTCCTTCTGTTCATCTTCCTTGCTCAGCTCTGCCCAACGCCAGTTCCTTGACCATCTGTGACTTCCAGGTTCTCTCTTTCTGGACTGGTTCTCTGTCTTCACTTGGTCCTCAAGGTCAGACGCCCAGTACAACTTCATGCCAGAATTGGGTTCCCAGCCCACGCCCCTGCTGCTAGTCAGGGGCCCCACTGGGGTGTTCTGGTGACTCCATCCTCGGACCCAGTACCCATAGGTTTCTGATGCCACAGAACTGCTGAGCTAGCTCTTGCCCCCTGGGGCCTCATGGCTCCAGTCAACCTACCAAACTTCACTGTTCAACAATCATCTCTGCATTTCCCACCATGACGATCTCAACCTTCTTTACCTTACAGGATCTCAGGCACGGAGCCTGGTTACTCACTTAAGCTGCCAGACTGCTGACCAGCTACCTCACGCAGGAGCGATTCTAGTCCCCAGGATACAAAAGTGAACAGGAGAACACCCGTGGGGTTTCTACCCTGCAGTATCAGTTCAATCTGAAGAAGTAACGTGACTGATTCATGTGTGCTATTCCCATACCCAGTCCTTCCCATCTTTCCCCGCTGATGACGGTTTACTAAGTACTTACTGCACGCTCTACGTGCTGAGAACAACATGGCGGGCAGGACATGGCCAGCACCCTCACTGAGTGGGGAAAACAAACAACACAAAACATGAACCCTCCTGTCAGTCACGTGGCGACACGAGGTAGCAGGCCACAGAACCAGAAAGCGACAGGATGTGCTTCTCAGTGGAGGGGACAGAGGAGACTCCAGGAGGTGGTGTTGGACCCGGAGTCCCAGGAAGTGAGGTTGAGTTGGGAAAGAGCCAGGAAAAGTGCCGTGGGGACCTCACGGAGACAGCAGGTGCAGAGGCCTGTCACCAGGGGCGGCTGCCATGGTGGCTTGCAGTGCATGCGACCTGTGGCCCAGGACACACAAGTTCACTTCCAACCCCAGGAGGAAGAGAAATGCTTGACCTGCAGATCACTCCTTGGGGTTGTGACTTAAGATCATTACGGGGCAGTGTCCCGTTCCCAGAAACAGAAATCCAGACTTCTCCTTCTTAAGAGTATTTCCAGCCTGATCCACACACGCATGGAGACGTGATACATAGAACATTGTTCAGTCTGATGCCTCCACTGTGGTGCAGGCAGAAGATTGGGCAGCACCTAGGATCCGCACGGATGTCCTCAACAATCGTCTGCATTTGCACCAAATAAATGGAAACAATAACATATTTCCTAATGGGGCAAAGATTGGCTTTTAGTCCCCCCTGGAGTCCACTGTTTTGATAGAGAAAAGGATGCCAGGCGGGTGCGTTGGCTCAGGCCTGAAATCCCAGCGCTTTGGGAGGCTGAGGTGGGCAGATCACCTGAGGTAAGGAGTTCAAGACTAGCCTGACCAACATGGGAAAACCCCGTCTCCACTAAAAATACAAAAATTAGCAGGGCATGGTGGCATGTGCCTGTAATTCCAGCTACTGAGGAGACTGAGGCAGGAGAATCACTTGAACCTGGGAGGAAGAGGTTGCAGTGAGCTGAGATTGTGCCACTGCACTCCAGCCTGGGTGGCAGAGGGAGACTTCCTCTAAAAAAAAAAAGGGAAAGAAAGAAAGAAAAGAAAAGGATGCCTCTGGTGTTTTTGTCTTAAGACCCTTTCAAGTAACTTGGGAAAAATTAAGTACTTGATAAATATGTGCTGTGATTAGAAACAGGATGGCCCTAAAATGTGGTACATGAAAGCCTTCATCTATTTAATGAGACTTTAATTGTATGGCAACGTAGATGATGAATCTTGTTGGGAATGCCATTTCAGCCATTCTGTCTCCAAAAAGAAAATCACCTTCAGGTCTTCAAGGAAAGCATGGGCATTTTGTGGGCACTGCCTGGTGCCAGCCCGCTGAGCTGTCAGGGCTGGACTGGGGACTTTCCTACCTTCCTCCTGTGGTCCTCGTAGGCCTTCTCCCATGCACGCCACGAGTACTCACTGGCACAGGGAAAGGTCAGCTGGGGGGCTCTGTGCATCTCAGCAACAAAACCCTCTTGCTCCTTCCAGAGAGGAGTAGCTGGGGCCTGTGCAGCCTGGAGACGGCTTGTTTGCAGGCCCACGTGACAGTTGTCATGGCGTCCACGTAAGGGGGGAGCGGGGGAAGAAAGGGCGTTAGAAGGCAGCCTGGGGCGTTCTCAAACAACACGTTTGATAACAGCGAAGAATGGGACCTTCTGCTCCACTGGGGAGTTTTTCTCCGGAGATCTTGGATGGTTTAGTGTTGCCATTTTGATGCCCACTCCGCAGCTACAGAGGCAGGAGATAATCACGCCTAAGGTCCGAGAATTCTCCAGCGAACTCCCCCGCCCTCCCTTTCTTTGCTCCCTGCTGTCTTCCTCTCCCCGACCTCTCTCTTCTCCTCCGCTTTCGCCAACCTCTCCCCCGTCCAGTTCTTTCCTTTCTTAATTACTGCCTTTCTTTCTGCCTTCCTTATCTCCTTTCTCTCTATCTTTGAATATTTTTAAAGATATTTTTATTTCTCCAAATTTGTTATTTATCAGGAGTGACTGAAATCAAATAAAACTGAGTCGCATCATCATCGCCACCATCATGGAAATGGCTTTAAAGATAACTGGTCAGATGAATATTACTGCTTCCCATTTTCCATCAGTAAATAGTCGCCACTGATAAACTGACACCCAGAGGTCTGTTAAAAATGCTCAAAATGTTATATAATACAACATGCTTCACAGGGGGAAGAGTCCTAGGAAATAACCCATGTGTACTTCTTGATCTCATCGTACAAGACAAGCACAAAAGCACCACCCATGCCTCTGAGAACACTGGACCATGCACCCTTGAAAAAACTTTCCTCCTCGTCACAAGCAGTCCTCCTCCAGCAGTTAAGTGTGCCCGTGTACATGATGTCAGAGTCCTCCTCCAGCAGTCACGCGTGTCCATGTACATGACGTCAGGGTCCTCCTCCAGCAGTCAAGTGTGCCCGTGTACATGATGTCAGAGTCCTCCTCCAGCAGTCACGCGTGTCCATGTACATGACGTCAGGGTCCTCCTCCAGCAGTTAAGTGTGCCTGTGTACATGACGTCAGGGTCCTCCTCCAGCAGTCATGCGTGCCCCTGTACATGATGTCAGAGTCCTCCCCCAGCAGTCACGTGTGTCCGTGTACATGATGTCAGAGTCTTCCTCCAGCAGTCACTCATGCCCCTGTACATGATGTCAGTCTTCCTCCAGCAGTCACTCATGGCTGTGTACATGATGTCAGAGTCTTCCTCCAGCAGTCACTCGTGCCTGTGTACATGATGTCAGAGTCCTCCTCCAGCAGTCACTCGTGCCCGTGTACATGTCAGAGTCCTCCTCCAGCAGTCACGCATGCCTGTGTACATGTCAGAGTCCTCCTCCAGCAGTCACTCGTGCCCATGTACATGTCAGAGTCCTCCAGCAGTCACTCGTGCCCGTGTACATGATGTCAGTTCCTTTGCACCCTGACTGCATCACGATGTGGCAGTGAATGGTCTCAGATGCATAGGAGTCAACCCAGTAACGGCAGTGATGATGCGGTCACATGAGATGACAATGGAGTGTTCTGGGGATCCAGAAGTGTTCCCTTTGCAGTGTCACAGATACCCAAGTAGGCAGCCCGGTAGATGATGATGCCCTGCACAGACAGAGCAGAGCCTTGGCACATACCCTTTCTCCCACCAGATTTGTAGCTCTTAAACAGGCAGTCTCTGAGGCCTGGGAATTCCCTTTCAGCTCCAGCTTTACACACGTCAGCTGCTAGATGGGTAGGGACAAAATCAAGAGGGTCACAAAACACAAGGATGTGGCCCCAGTGGCACCACCTGATGCCAGACTCCCTGCAAAGTAGCGCAAATCTGGGTCCTCTTGTTTACAGCACCCGGGAAGATGTGCTTGTGTTTGTATCTGAAGGCGAAGTTAAGAGCCTGGGTGGGGAAGTATCTGATGACATTGGCCAGGTTACCGCGCCAGGACAGGACTCCCTGCTCCTTGGGAATATGGACCACACTGTCTATAACGCCCTCGATTGCTGATCTGCGGTGACCTGCTTGCTTGCTGGCATGCTGCACCCACAGCAGCAGCTTGACCCACTCGACGGAGATGGCTGTGGCCACTGCACCTGCCAGGAAGTCCTCGGCAAAGGACATGGCAGCACCTGTCCCGTCCAGGGGAAAGAGGAGGCAGGCTGCTGTGGGATGGGGCGGAGCCAGGCCGCCGTGGGGCGGGGCGGAGCCAGGAACCGGCTTAGACTCTGGGGCTGCGGTGCTCAATGATTTGTATAGTTCGGACGACTCCGAAATGTTTGTTGGAAGGTTGGGCGGCAGATCTTCACAATCTTTTTCGGTTGACTTGAGGATTAGTTATGCAAAGGTTTAGCTATTTCAAGCCATCCTCTCTCATTGCTTTAATCTGGTTGGGATGGGTTTTTCCTGAGACTGATGAAGTGACAGCTGTTGGTCATTTCATCTCTGTGGAAGCCATATGCACAGTGTTGGAGGTGACGCCATCAGAGGGTTACAGCGGTGTCATTTTCATATCAGAACTCTGGCCTTCCTTCCGTGACACCTCTCATCACCTGAGACTGCAGTGCAGAACCCATGACGGGAACTCACTGTCCAGCTATGCGTATGTGAGGAACAGATACAGGGCATTTCATGTGAAATCTGCTCTGACTATTAGCACGATTTAATGGCTGCCAGTCTGAGAGAAAGAATCAGATCTGGAAGTAATAACATGTGAGTGAAACCAAAAGATGAGTTTTATTTATTTCCTCCCCTGCCACACTTGAGGTGGCTGAGGTGCTCTGTACTCAGCTAGCTCTAATGATCTTCAAAGTTTGGCAGAAGCCTTTATAGACTGTTAAAACTGTTGACTTACTGAAAACTTAAAAGTTGCCTGGGTGTTTGAAAAGAAAAATTTATTTTAATCCATAATTAATTTTTAGAAAACTTGCATATAATGTAGAATATAGATGTAAGAATTCCTACCTAGAAATACAGCCAGCACTTTAAGACATAAGGCTTAGTTAAGATTTCTTAGCCTGTACAATCTAAAGGTTACATTTGAAGGAATTCTATTAAAATAATCAATTTCCTTTACTGATACTGTCATTGGTCAAAAATAACTAGAAAAAGCCTCATATACAGTAGGTTCTCAGCAAATACCTGCTAGTCATGCTCATGGGAAGTAATGGTGTCAGTGCTACTGGCTGGCTCCTCAGCTGGGACTCCGGGAGTTTTTGGGCAGTTGGTGAGGCTGACCCTGCGTGGCCCCGTCTCTCTTATTCTTTCATCCTGACTGTGCTCAATGCTGCCATCGGTCGGTGGATGGGGGAGTGGGCTGTGCTCCACATCTCACTCTCGCATGGATAAAGCATTGAGGGCAAAGGGGACAAAATAGGTGATGCTTAAAGTTTTTGTTTTCACAGTGTGAGGATTCACAGTGGTTTGGATACACACACTGTTTTTGATGCTGCTGGTTGAATAAAGTGAGCTCAGGGAAGGAGTCCCAGCTGCTACCCATAGCTGCCACCCACGGCTGCCACCCATGCTGCCACCCACAACTGCCCACCCATGGCTGCCACCCAGAGCTGCCACCCATGGCTGCCACCCACAGCTTTCTACCCACAGCTGCCACCCACAGGTGCCACCCATGGCTGCCACCCACAGGGAAGGAGTCCCAGCTGTCTACCCATGGCTGTCACCCATGGCTGCCACCACAGCTGGCCTATGGTTACCTGCAACCCACTGACCATTCGACTCATGTTTGCTCTTGGTCTGGACTGACGGCAGGGCCCATGGCACAGGATCTGCAAACATCAGCCATGTTGCTAAAGACCCAGGAAGATCCCCCCCAACGACATGTTCTAGGTCTCAGTGCACCACAGGGCTCAAATCAAGTTCTGCTTCTTAAGATCAGACCAGACAAGCAGTTAAGCAGCAGCTCCCTGGCATCTGTCCTGAGGACTAAAGGGAAACCCTGACAAGTTTGTACACAGGGAAGAACTATGTATGGGAGTGGGGGCTGCACAGCCTGGAGTCTGGAGCTGAGAGCCGGGGCTGACATCCACCCTGAACCTCTGCTGCAGGATCCAAGCCGTGGCACCACACTGTACTCTGTGAATTTTATATTAAGTGGAGAATTGTGTTTTATATTGGGCTAGGTTTGGATGTTTGATATTATATAGTTTCTACTTATATTCTACAGCAAATAAATACCAAAGCCTAGTTTTGGCTTTGATTATCCAGACAATACCTGGGTGTTCAGCTCCCGCCTTAATCAAATTTTGGCCCAATATTAACTTTAACTTCGTATTTATTAGAAATGCTTTGAAATGTTACCAAGTGACGTCCTGAAATGTGAAGCCTGTTCCATAGAATAGCTTCTTATGTGACATGCAATATGCAAAGTGTTTGTTGTGTGGTACATATTAACTCAGTCTTAATATTCATAATTATTTTCCTGTGTCCTTAACTCTAAATCCAAGCTTTGATTTTTCTGTTCTTCTACCCTCCCACAAAAGGCAGTGTCTTCAAAACCAAGAGCAACTTTGTTCTCATTCTGCAGAAGAGTGTGGTTTACAAACAAATCTCCAACCACTTCAAGTGTACTCTACCTTTGGGGGGCAAATGTGCTCACGAACATTGATTTCCAGAAAAGATAACTGTGTCTCCAGTATCTTCTGTGTAGTGCAAATCAGTTGAGAACTGAACTAAAAACGCTGGGAGTCACTACCACCAGGAACAGCAATGTGACCTGCTTCACCAGAGTCCTGGAGCCAGCGTCCTGGAGGCCAACGCCCGTGTACTGAAGAGCCCACCCAGGAGTCAGGAATTTTGAGGCTACGGTCAAAGAAATCTGCCAGACTCCCCATACCCGTACTCAGAGGGCTTCTCCTGAAGGCACTCAGGGTCTCAGCAGTGAGGTCTCTGTAGGGGACAGGGCAGGTGGGCAGTCTTAATAGGAGCTGAAGTCTTCACCCTCAGGAAAAGATGGATCAGAAATAACCCATCCTCCAACAACTGCTAGGTTATAGCAGATCAGGGGACAAGACAGGGAAGAATCCTGCAGCCTAGGTTAAAACAGTTCCAAAATTAGCTTAAAGTCACAGTGCCTAAAAACCCTGGAGTCGTGAAATTAGCTTAATGTCACATTGTGAAATTAGCTTAAATCAAAGTGCCTGAAAGTTCCCTGAGTTGTGAAATTAGCTTAACGTCACAGTGCCTGAAAACCCTCGAGTCACGAAATTAGCTTAACGTCACAGTGCCCGAAAACTCCCTGAGTTCAGAAATTAGCTTAACATCGCCTGAAAACCCTCAAGTCATGAAATTCGTTTAATGTAGCCCTGGACTGATCATGTCTCAAGATGCTGCCAGCTTTCCAGTGTCTCAGTGACACCGAACATCTTGCAAAGTGAATCAATCCTGCAGAGAAGTCATGGCCAGCCCCGCAGGAACCTCAGGGCAGATGCTCAGACACAGATGACAGGATGGCCACACTTACACATCTTCAAGGCACAAAAGACAAAATCGGAAATAGCTGCACAGGACAGGAAACCATAAAACTTTTCAACACAGAAGGATGCTTACAACATTTGCAAAATTTGACCATACGCTGGGCCATGAAAAAGCGTCCTTTTGAAAGGACAGAAATCATACAGATAGTGCTCACAGTGGCAGAGAGCCAGGAATTTATAACAAAAGATAACGAGGAAATCCCATGTTTGGAAACTCAGCAGTGCAACTGCAAGGTCAGGAACAAGACGGGGCTGTCCCTGTGGACTTCCCTGATACAAGAGGTGCTCTTTGGATTAAGTGGATTAAAGTGTTAGGGGCCTTGAACAGTCCATCTAAAAGGAAATTCAGAGAAACAGGCTCTCCAGAACAAGTACGTTTAAGTGGGAATAGCAGGGAATTGTATGCTCTGATGGATCACAGGTACACTGCAGGGGCCGGGGCAGAGGGGAGATTTTTAAAGACAGAGAGAACTCCACGTAAGCTGCTTTGTAACAGAAATCTCTGGTTAGCAGAGGTTGTCCCAGGGCTGGCGTGAGCTCCTTGTGCTGCCACTTATTTGTCATACCAACATGCTACGCATCCTGATGGGGTGAACGTGTGGCCTGTGCGGGGGTGTCTTGAGATGAGGCTCGTCACAGGTGTTTGTGTGTGAGGGTGCCCTGTCATGACCTCCCCACCCCATTTGTTGGGGTTTGATATAAGTGAACCTGTTTTGGTGCTAGTAAGTTTCACAGAACAGAAGGAATTCAACTTATTGGTCATTAATAGTGATGCCAACTGCAGCCTTATGAAGCTACCACATCTCAAGAACCCTATTCCTGAGAAGATACACTTTGGTCTCCAGCCCACTCTGGAAATAGTCTTAAAAAATTGATCCAGGGCCGGGCGCGGTGACTCAAGCCTGTAATCCCAGCACTTTGGGAGGCCGAGGCGGGTGGATCACGAGGTCAAGAGATCAAGACCATCCTAGTCAACATGGTGAAGCCCCGTCTCTACTAAAAATACAAAAAATTAGCTGGGCATGGTGGTACGTGCCTGTAATCCCAGCTACTCAGGAGGCTGAGGCAGGAGAATTGCCTGAACCCAGGAGGTAGAGGTTGCGGTGAGCTGAGATTGTGCCATTGCCCTCCAGCCTTGGTAAAAAGAGCGAAACTCCATCTCAAAAAAAAAAAAAATGATCCAGAAGCATGGGAAAGCTAAGTGCATAAACACACGAATTCCAGTGTCACTGGTTTACTGCTGCACAGAGCTGGAGCTGGCTCACTCCACACAGAATGCGATGGGGTGTGGTACAGCCGCTCTTGTGACAACTGGAAAGACCAACCCAGCAAGGCAGGCTCAGAACTGCTCCTCTTACCGTACACAGGAAGCTGAGCCCAGAAGCCACCTTGGAAAACTTCCTCTCACTAGTACATGAGAAGCCGAGACTGGAAGGTGCCTTGGGAAAGTTAATTTGTTGTAGGTGTGTTGAAGAAAACTATGGCCCAAGAAGGGCTCCCTACTTCTGTATTTATGAGTCCTTGTGGATGAACTGCAACCTAACTTCATAGGTGGACAACACTGAGAACCTAACTTGGGAGTCTGTGCCTCTAACAGTAGCTGAGTCTTGGCCAACTCCAGTGGCCATGCTTCAACCACTCACACCACTGAGTGCTCAGATTGTGTTCAAATAAGGCGAACCCTGAGCTGTAACCAATCCAACTGTTCTGTACCTTTCCCATTTCTGTAAGCCATTTCCCTTTCTTTGTCTATCAATCTTCTACCACATGGCTGTGCTGGAGTCTCTTTGAATCTGCTGTGATTCTGGGGGCTGCCCAATTCGAGAATCCTTCATTGCTTGATTAAACTCCATTAGCTTCAATTTGGCTTAAGTTTTCCTTTTAACAGATGGTGTCAGAAGTGGGATTTAATATTGTAGGGGTTATAATATGTGGCTTTTGGAAATTCATAGGGATTTTTGTGTACTACCCCTTTATTTCATTTTTCTTGTGTGCTTAGGCAGAAAAAAATCATTGGTGTATTTGTCTGTTTTTATGCTGCTGATAAAGATATACCTGAAACTTGGAACAAAAAGAGGTTAATTAGACTTATAGTTCCATATGGCTGGGGAAGCCTCAGAATCATGGTGGGAGGTGAAAGGTGTTTCTTACATGGCAGCAGCAAGAGAAAAATGAGGAAGCAAAAGCGGAAACCATTGATGAACCCATCAGATCTTTTGAGACTTATTCACCATTACGAGAATAGCATGGGAAAGACAGGCCCCCATGATTCAATTACCTCCCCGTGGGTAATTGTTCTGTCATAAAGAGGAGTACCTTAGAGTGAAATGCCCAGCAACACATGGGGATTCTGGGAGATACAATTCAAGTTGAGATTTGGGTGGGGACACAGCCAAAGCATATCAATTGGCTAAGTTAATAAAGGGAACCAGAGAGTAAAGCCAATATTTTAGGTAAAAGTAGGATCTTTAATTTCCAGAATACTGCGTTCCTTCTGGTTTATACATTAGGCCTGGGAAGCAATGAAGTCTTACAGAAATGGCAAAATCTTACTAAAGGTAACTTACAGTGGAATGTTCCAAATGAACAATGTACAAAAGCACATTTAAAAATGAGGGTTCGGGCCAGGCGCAGTGGCTCAAGCCTGTAATCCCAGCACTTTGGGAGGCCGAGGCGGGTGGATCCTGAGGTCAAGAGATTGAGACCATCCTGGTCAACATGGTGAAACCCCGTCTCTACTAAAAATACAAAAAATTAGCTGGACATGGTGGCGGGTGCCTGTAATTCCAGCTACTCAGGAGGCTGAGGCAGGAGAATTGCCTGAACCCAGGAGGCAGAGGTTGCGGTGAGCTGAGATCACCCCATTGCACTCCAGCCTGGGTAATAAGAGCAAAACTCCATCTCAAAAAGAAAAAAATGAGGGTTCACAAATTAGTCTCATCTGGGGATGTTTATTAGTATGCAGAAGCTTTTAAAAATATTTAGAGATGGGCTGGGCACGGTGGCTCATGCCTGTAATCCCCGCACTTAGGGAGGCTGAGGCAGGCAGACTATGAGGTCAGGAGATTGAGACCATTCTGACTAACACAGTGAAACCCCATCTCTACCAAAACACAAAAAATTAGTCAGGTGTGGTGGCAGATGCCTGTAGTCCCAGCTACTTGGGAGGCTGAGGCAGGAGAACCCGGGAGGGGGATGTTGCAGTGAGCCGAGATTGTGCCACTGCACTGCAGTCTGGCAACAAAGTGAGACTCCATTAAAAAAAAAAAAAGATTTAGAGATGACAGGGCCAATCTGGAAGCAAGTTTGAACCTTGCCAGTTTGATACTGGGGGCTGAGCAGAGTGGCTAATGTCTACATTTTGTCACACGTATTTTGCTCTGGCCAGAACAGAAAAAGATAACTTTCCGTTGTGCTGCGGCTTGGCTGCAGTGGCTGGTGCAGGAAGCTGGATCACTAGGGTCCCTCAGGGAAAGGGAACCCAGAGCCTGGCATGCTGACAAAAGTGTAAGAATTTCTCATGAGTCAGATTTCCGGCCTCTTTTTCCCTGTGCAAACTGGTTAAATGAATAGTAAAAATCACTGTTTATCTCCTCTGTAAAGTTTTAGTTAATATGAAAAAGAATTCCAATGCTGGTCTTAAACTGTAGTGAATCTGGTGTGCTTTGTGTGTCTTTCTGCATTGTTCTGTCATAAAGAGGAGTACCCTATAAGCCCACTGTTCAAGATGCAAACTGATCAGTTATAAACCTTGTTTGAAGTCCCTAAAGGAAGAAAAAGAAAAAAAATAGATGAGGTCTCCATGTTGTCTTATATGTCCCTGGGGGCTTGAGCTTGTGACCATGTGGCAATACTTTCTAGTCTCTGCCATCACAATGGCTGCTGAATTCATGGTTCAGTTCCCAGCCTTGGGAATGAGTACTTTCTGATTGATATTTGGGTGACCTTCGCCATTTTTTAAGTCTCTTACCCTCCATGAACAGTCTTGAATTTTCCTTTCTGTAAGCACAAAAATAGTGGCTGTTTGGCCTGGCTAAATTTGGATAATAAGAAATTTAAAATAACTTTTATTAAACAGTGCTATGGTTAATAGTCTGCTTAATTAAAAGTGGATATTTAAGCTCTAAGAGCCTGGGACTCCTTGAGAAAAACAGAGGCACCAGAGACCCTTTCCTGGCTCCATTCTTCCAAAGACTCAACCCTAAACCAGTAATCCAATTAAGAAACTTACCAACTGGTGAATGAAAATACAGCTACTGTAATAATCTTTTTCTGTCTGTCTGTGTAATTATATATGTGTTGTGTGTGCCATGTTTATATAAAATAGCTCTAAGTAATTGGCTTAAAGAAAAATAAGCACTTAGATAAAAGATTTTTAAAGAAAAATAAAAACTAATACCTTTTGGTTCACATGATTTCAATAATCTTTGGGAAATAAAAAGTTTTAAAGATTATTGGAAAATGAAGACATTTGGTCTGAATTATGCAGGTCAAATACTAGGTTTGCTAAATGCCTTAAGGTGATAAACTGCTTTGAATTTTAAGGCCTGGGGACATGTGGAATTAGCCATATCCCCAGCTATGCAAATAAGGTTATGGAGAAAAGAGATTCAATAAAAGAAAGGATCTTGTATGGCAAATTCTTGTCCTAAATTAAATGACTTGTTACTTAAGAAGAGGAAAGTTGGGCCGGGCGCAGTGGCTCAAGCCTGTAATCCCAGCACTTTGGGAGGCCGAGGCGGGTGGATCACGAGGTCAAGAGATCGAGACCATCCTGTTCAACATGGTGAAACCCCGTCTCTACTAAAAAAATACAAAAAATTAGCTGGGCATGGTGGTACGTGCCTGTAATCCCAGCTACTCGGGAGGCTGAGGCAGGAGAATTGCCTGAACCCAGGAGGCGGAGACTGCGGTGAGCCGAGATCACGCCATTGCACTCCAGCCTGGGTAACAAGAGCGAAACTCCGTCTCAAAACAAAAACAAAAACAAAACACAAAAGAGGAATGTTTAAGATGGGTCAGAAACCCAACCATGTCGTATATGGTCTATGTAAGGTGAGAAAGGACTCATGAAAGGAAATTTAGGCACCAAAAGTGAAAGTTGCTAAGAATTACCATTACAACATGTAATTGAAACTACTGAAAAAAATAGATTTACATGCAAGGTATGTGATGAGAGTGAAATGTGTTTTTGATAAAAGATTATAAGCATAGGAATGTAAATGTTTGCCTAGTTTAAAGGGTTAAAGGATTGTTTTAAATTAGATAAGATAAAGCTAAACGTTTAATCAAGGGCTATAAAAAATTAATCTTGTAAAAGAAATTCTGTGTGCGAATATACTGGCTAAATTTAAGGGGGTATGATTCAGTTTTTCCATAAATTGAACATTGAAATAAAAGTATAACAGGGTTTTCTTAAAGTGCGAATCTATTCTTTAACAAAGATTTTAAAGGGCTAAAAAAGGCTTATGAGAATCTCACCTTACGGCCAAACTGATTAAGATTGAATAGATTTGTCTGTAAGGGTTATCAAACTTTGGGGTGACATTAACAGCAGACTAATGCAAGAGTGAAATTTGGCTTTCTCTCTTGAACAAGATTTTCTTGTAATATTAAAAGACAATGAAAGATTTTTGTTTGCCTTTTGTATCAACTACCAAAAAAGAAAGGAAAGACAAGAGACAGATTGTTTAGAAAGCTAAATATTCCCCGTATCAATGAGCAAAGATTTTTGCCTTTAAAAAGTTTTCTGAGTCATCATTTTGGCTAAATGAATGATTTACGGTAATCTGTAATTCTATTTCATAATATCAAGTGTTTTAAACCTTTAACATATTTGATAGGCCTCTCAAAAGCAAATATCAGCTTCAAAATGGTCTTTTCTGATCTCTAACTTTGGGATGTGACAGAGGGTCCTTGAAACATCCAAAAGAGAGGTCAACAGGATTATCTGACATGTTAAGTTACAAAGGAAGCATTGTTAAACTAAAAATATTGTTTAATCATCAGGTTATACTTCAGTGAATTATGTTAATATATGTTCTAAAATTGATGGGATTTCTAAAATTCTAATATGTGTGATTTTAATATGTATGAGTATATGCTGTCAAGCATAATTACGGTTATTATGTTCTTGTAGACCACAGAAATAACCAAATTTCCTAGTTAAGGTGTTAAAGGTTCCTACTTATAGTGTTTTAAACTATAACTATTATTTTTTTTTCTTGAGGTGGAGTCTGGCTCTGATGCCCAGGCTGGAGTGCAGTGGGGTGATCTCAGCTCACTGCAATTTCTGCCTCCCAGATTTAAGTGATTCTGTCTCAACCCGCCAAGTAGCTGGGATTATAGGTGCCCACCACGCCTGCAGAGATAGGGTTTTGCCATATTGGCCAGGCTGCTCTGGAACGGCTGACCTCAGGTGATCCAACTGACCTGGCCTCCCAAAGTGCTGGGATTATGGTTTTAATTATAACTATTTAAAGCCATTTCCACGTGAATTGCTTAACGCTGATGCAGTTTCTGAACGCTTCAAAAGCATGGTGTCTTTTAGGAGGTTCATGAAAGCATGGAGACGATCCTGAATATCACTCTTAAATACAAGTTTCTAACAACTTTAGAATCATATCATCTGAACTGCATAAGAATTCCTGGAACTTTAATAGAAAGACTGACTGGGTTCCAAAACTGCTAACTCAAGTAGAACAAAAATTTATTGAACGCCAAGAAATAGTTTGCCAGATTTTCATGCTAAATCAGCCAATACTGAAATTGTTGAGATATACAATTTGAATGAAATCTAAGGTCTAAGTCAAGTTACCTGTGATAACCTATGAGTTACCCGTGCTATGCACCTAATTTGGAGAAATTAGGTGATATTCAAGAGGACATAAGTCCAATGTTAAGCATGGACTCACAGAGCACCAGGATGGCCTCCTTGTCCTTCCTGAGTCCTTAAAGCTTGTATTAGTAAAAGCTCTGCATTCCATACCTCGTCATGGAAGAGGTAAAATCATCCAAATTAAACATATTGATGTGGTGACTTATAAATTGCAAAAATAGTTTATAACAAGAGTTTGGTTTCACATTCCTGGAAAGACAAAGCTTCAGGTACATTTGGCAATCTGATGGGCCATTTAAACATTTATCAAAAAATTCCATTTCATTGTCATTTTTGATGCATGTTTTCTGGTTATATAAAAACTTTCCCATGCAAAAGGGCTGATGTTCTAACACTAAGTAATTGTGCCCCAGTGTATTTTTATCAAGCAAAGAAAGCTTCTTTATGGTTCACTGAGGGCAATCAACCCGTTTACCATCTGGAACTCAAAGATGGGATCTTCGGAGAATATCAGAGAAAGACCGCCCTTTCCATCCACACTGCAGGCAAACTTTGGAAACTAATTTCAAGAAGGAGAGGATAAGAAAAAAAAAAACAACTTTGGAATCTTGAGCCTTGAGTTCATCATCTCACGACTGAGAAGTGTCTCTCCACACTCTTGGAACTGGACACCCATCGGAACCGTTCAGGTAAAGCTAACCAGGAAGTTTCTCCCACGAAGTAGATGGCATCCCTGATGCGAACAGCTTTTCTCAAGATCACAGATCAAGAATTTTGCTATCATGAGACTCTTATTTTGGAATATTTCTCCTTGCTTATGCCTCTGTGAACAACAGAAATGGAAAGGGGGTCTGCCGTGTGCACTTACAAGGTATACTTTTATCTGCGAAGGACTTTTCAGCCAGCCTTATACATGGATAATCTTATACTTTGGTAGGTAAAAGATGAAGGCCTGATGTGGGTGAGAAACTTTAATGGTACATGTGTTGCCTCGTAATCAGATACAAGGCCGGGCGCGGCGGCTCACGCCTGTAATCCCAGCACTTTGGGAGGCCGAGGCGGGTGGATCACGAGGTCAAGAGATCGAGACCATCCTGGTCAACAAGGTGAAACCCCATCTCTACTAAAAATACAAAAAAAATTAGCTGGGCATGGCGGCACGTGCCTGTAATCCCAGCTACTCAGGAGGCTGAGGCAGGAGAATTGCTTGAACCCAGGAGGTGGAGGTTGCAGAGAGCCGAAATCACACCATTGCCCTCCAGCCTAGATAACAACAGCGAAGCTCCATCTCAAAAAAAAAAAAAACAAAATCAGATACAGAACATTGATTAACTCTTATCCCACATCGTGAATTAGAGAGAACACTGCCAGGAGGCCTTCACTCTTCTGGAAGGGATCATTTGTTAGGTATTTTTTCCATGGTTTGGAATAAAAGAGGCAATAATTAGAAATAAATCCCTCATGATAGGGTCTAAAGCAGATTCTACAAGAAAAGCTATGGTTACACAACAAACTTGAAATTCTCTTATAAAAGTTATGCTAAAAAGTGACTAAATAGAGAAGTATGTGTGCAGTCACTGGCCTATGAATGAAACATTGGGTATTACAGAGATTCAGCTGAAGGGCATTGATGGAGAGAGCCGCTTAGTCAGTGAGCAGACTCCTTATCCAGCTCATTCTTCGACCTGTTTGCATTTAGGTGGTTGGTTTACTGGGACCTTGAGTAAGGAGCATACTCCAACCTCTTGGTTTTATCCTCCCAGTAGTCATAGCAATAGTCTCCCCAGTGCACTGTGTTCTCTCAAAGGTTTGAAATGTTTGCATGCAGCCATCTTTAGAAAGCCAAATGGTCTCTTTTCAACTGGAATGACCAGTGCTGAAAGAAACGTGTGGCCATGAGGACACCGTAAACTATGAGGGAAGCGCTGAGACCAGAAACCCACAATCAGGCTACTGAGAGTAGCGCTAACACCCTAAGTTTTGGTGACACTCTTATCTAAGTGAGAACCTAACCGAAAAAGGGGAATCTGCTTCCAAGCCCACGCTGTTCACAAGACAGATTCTCCCACAAAGCAAACAAGAGCCCGAGGCCATCCGTGTCTGAATAGCCCCTCCCTGGGACCTCGGCGTCTGACCGCCTGGCTGGCAAACGCGTCCTGGCTTCCTCAGCCCCACCTTGTTTCAGGCTTTAGCTGTCTGAGGGCATCACAGAGAGGAGACCACAGACAAGAAGGCAATGTCCAGGGCCCTGGAGGCCTCCCGGGAAGGCTGCCTGGGAAGGAGGCTGAGCACCATTCCTACCCCCTGCTCCAAGTCAGCTGAGTGGGGAGGTGATCTGAATGCTCAGTTGGCTTTTGCTGGGAAACCTGGACAACCCCGAAGCCGGGGCAGTCATGCCAAGAGTTCGCAGTCCATGGTGAGCAGAGGAGGCAGGGGCTGCAGACCCGTGCCAGCAGAGTGCACCGCGGAGCTGGAGGCTGCCTGGCTCCCTTTCTGTCTGCAGAAGCACCATGTCCTGCCTGGGTTTCTGCCTCCATTCCTTTTTTATCTGGCCATAGAATGCAGTAAGACTTTCCAAACTGAACAACAGCAGCGTTTGGGTATTTGGAGCAGCTAATTTTTTGTCCCTAGTTACTGGTCCTCAAGTCTGGCCTCAGGCAATGCTCATGTCGTCTGCAGGGGATGGTCCCTCCAGGGCTGGGGTGCAGGCTGGAAAGCAGCCAGGCCCTGAAGGGGAACCCGTGGATACTGCCTGCCAGGCAGGCAGAGGGCAGCTGAGGCTGCAGGCAGGGTGGGGGTGACGTGAGGCACCTTTGCCGCTCAGACTGGCGTATGCTGACCATCTCAGCAGCCCCTGGTGCTTGGGTTCTGCAGGGGGCCCACAAACTACACGGGATGTGTGTGTGCTTCTCAGCCCTGGGGGCTGTGTCCAGGAGACCTGCAAGAGAGCCCAGGAAGCTCTCCAGGCCCCGGGAGGGGACAGGGCCCCATGCGCTCAGCCCACTGCCCCTGGTTGCCATCTTAATGCAGATGCAATTGTAAAATAAGTGAACCATTTTCTCCAACACGAAAACAAGGAAGCAGTTCATGAGCATTGTTGACAGCATATCCTCCCCTTCAAGAAAAGGAGAAAATTCATGAAATACAAACTGCACCCTCTCCTCCACCTGAGAAGGAAATGAAATTGAGAAGAAAGTTAGTATCCGTCTGATTAATAAAGTGCCTTGGCCTTTAGAGGAGCAGATGTCCTGGTAGTAACTGTCGCTGTGACCAGGAGGAGGTGTGGTGGGAGGCTTCATTTCTGGTCCAGCCTGGCGGCTTGGTTCAAACCAGCAACTGTGGCTCCTCAGTCTGTCCCATCTGAAATGCCTCCTGCTGCACCAAGACCTGCTCCCCCTTCTCCTCCTCTTCCTTCCCCCAGAATTGCTTACGACGATGTCCACTAACCTTGAGAGAGTGACTCCAGTAGGTATTCCAGATGGAAGAGTGATGAAAGCCAAGCTTCCCCGTTCTCCCATCTTAACCGGTCCTAGGTGGGAGCTGCCTGTCACCTCAGGGGCAGAGTTTCAAACAAGACCACTGATGAAAAGTGTGGCCTTGTTTCCACCCTCGTTGAATCAGGTTCCACCATAAACAGAACAGGGACACACACTGTGCCTTCCAGAAGCAGCACCTTCGAATCAGGGGCAACTCAAACCTAGAGAAAGTTGCTGAGATGAGCTGAGATTTGTCTTTTCATAGTAACTTTTACCTTTTAATTCTAATTCTGCCCATTGCAGTCACACTGAAGGAATGGACGCCTTTCTGTACACACAGGCCCCTCAGTACTTGAAGGGTGAGCTGAGCACACATCCTTCTCCCACCTGTCCCTCCTTAGGTCCAGCCTTCTCAGCCCCTAGAACTCTTCCTGTGTGGCCAGGGAAGCATTGCTTGGAACCAAAATTCACAGCGGGGCTCAGAGGCAGGGAGGAGGGGTCCTTCCTGGATGCAGACTGGAGTCTGGTGGGGGTGCTCAGCAGTGCACACCCCCACCCTGCCTAAGGGGCTGATGAGTTCCCTTGGCCCCAGCAGACTGCTGGGTTCCACCCCGGCCCCCCAGTCCCCTGCGCTGTATGGAAGGAGCATTTCTACCAGTGGAAGGGGTCATCCTGTGAATAGTGTAGGAACAAGCAAAAAAAACTGGTTGAGAAGAACCACCCAGTCCTAGCCCAGGCTCGTGTTTCAGTAAAGAAACTGTCTCTGGGGAGCCTGCGGCATCTCCTGACAAGCACAGCCCCCTCCTCACTAGTGAAGGTTGCCGAGGGTACCAGCTTCCAAACTCCGGGAGGGAAAAGCTCATCTCCGCTGTCTTTCAGCTTCATTCCCGTTAGGAACCAGGGCGATCACACCGCACACCAAGCCACCTGCCCCCAGCTTCCAGCTCTGCCCAGCCCCCAGGACCCACCCAATCTGCCCTTTCTTAGCACATGACCACCCCTGCCCCTACCCTCGGCCTGGCCTGGCTGAGTGGGTCGTGGAAATGATTTCTTTAGAAAGTGGAGTCGTTGGGATGCAGGTGGCCGTCACTTCACCACAGCCAGCCGACCGAGCCGACAAGGTCCTGGTGCCTGTTTCTCCCAGGACAAAGCAGAGATTAGGTGTCGGAAAAGCACTCTGTAGTGACCTCATCCCTGGACCACAGGCTCCCTTGGCCTGCTTCATTTTTAAAGTAGAGGGGATCGTTGTCAAAATGGCCCTCAGGCCCAATATGTACATAGCAGACCCAGCCACTCCCGCCTGGCACGGAGTCCAGGGGCAGAGACACTGCAGGAACAGTTCTGGTTCCCGATCCAGTGTCTCCCCCTCTCCCCAAACCCTCGTGTTTGCGCTCTCTTGACAACCCCGAGGTATTTAAATGGGAATCACGTTGCTCCTTCTATAGACAGCACGGCAGACACCGTGGTCAAGGACATCGATGCCAAAGGTCTGGCTAGGCCGTTAGTCGAGGACGGGCGGGGGTTGCGGGCACAGGCGAAGGGCTTTTCTCCTGCGAGGGGCACAGGAGGCTGGGGGGCCCGGAGGAGCCAGGCTGGCAGCGCGCAGCGGGGTTCTGGACGTCCTCCTCCCATGCGGGTGCCAGGAGCTGTTGGCTGCCCTTGAGAGCTTCCCGACAGCTGCCTCCGGCCGCCTTCCGTGGAGCTCCTGCTGGTGTCTTTGTGGAGACCTCGCTGGTTACGATTTCCGAAAACGTACCTGTTCTCTGCCGAGTCCAAGGGTCCCCGCTCCCTCCCAGCCACACCCACACCCTCTGTGCTTCTTCCAGCTCTGCACACCCCCAACCTGCTTCTGCACCAGGGGCCCCTCTGGGGGAAGCGGATTCCCCAGGAGCCCCAGGCGGGGTGTGGTCCCGCCGGGCCGTCCCGGAGGCCGTGGGTCTGTGTGTCCTGCAGCCTCACCCGGAGCAGCGCTTCTGCTAGCGTCACGCGCTCGTGTCCCACTTGTCTGTGTGAAGACGACGTCGTGAGACTCGTCGGTTCGAAGCAGCCGCGGCTGGGCCTGGATGCCCCGTGGGCGCGGAGGAGCGCGGCGAGCGCGGCGCGCGCGGCGGCCCACCGAAAATGAGCAGGTGAACTGGTTAACGGTGAGCGCGGCCGCGGGGAAGCCGCGCGCGAGTGGGACGCTCTGAGCCGAGAGGTCGGGCGTGTCGGTAACGGTGACGCTGTCGGAGTTTCGTTCACACCGGGAGGCGTTCTTCTAATTGGAGACGGAGGGTGAGGGAGGGGGAGCCGCGCGCGTTACACGCAGCTCCGCGAGGACAAACGGTATCGGTCCAGGCCACCTGCGCTTGGTCTCAGTGGAGGCCGATCCTTGCTCAGGGAAGTGACTCAGCCAGAGGCTGACGACCAGGAGGGCACAGAGGGCCTAGCTGGGCGCTAACGACCAGGCAGCAGAACAACTGCGGGAACATGGGGTCACCGTGAGTCCTGCTTTGAAAATGAGACAGGAGTGGATATAACGTTTGTAAAGACCTGCTATGAAAAGACCTTCGGTAAAACTCAACATCCCTTCATGTTAAAAACTCTCAATCAACTAGGTATTGATGGAACATACCTCAGAAGAATAAGAGCCATTTATGACAAACCCACAGCCATATTATGGTGAATGGGCAAAAGCTGGAAGCATTCCCTTTGAAAACAGGCACAAACAAGGATGCCCTCTCTCACCACTCCTATTCGACATGGTACTAGAGGTTCCGGCCAGAGCAATCAGGCAAGGGAAAAGAATGAAGTGCATTCACTTTAAGGAAGGGAGCAAGTCAGACTCTCTCCGCAGAAGACGTGATCCTGTATCTAGAAAACCCCATCATCTCAGCCCAAGAGCTTTTTAAGCTGATAAGCAACTACATCAAAGTCTCAGGATACAAAATCAATGTGCAAAAGCCACAAGCTTTCCTATACACCAATAACACACAAGCAGAGAGCCAAATCATGGATGAATTTTTATTCACAACTGCCACAAAAACAATAAAATACCTAGGAATACAGCTGACAAGGGAAATGAAGGACATCTTCAAGAACTACAAACCACCGCTCAAGGAAATCAGAGAAAACACAAACGAATGGAAAAACATTCCATGCTCATGAATAGGAAGAATCAGTATCATGAAAATGGCCATACTGCCCAAAGTAATTTATAGATTCAATGCCATTCCCATTAAACTACCATTGATGTTCTTCACAGAATTAGAAAAAAAAACTACTTTAAAATTCATATTGGACCAAAAAAGAGCCTGTATAGCCATGACAATCCTAAGGAAAAAGAACAAAGCTAGAGGCTTCACGCTGACTTCAAACAAGGCTACAGTAGCCAAAACAGCATGGCACTGGTACAAAAACACATAGACCAATGGAACAGAATAAAGAACTCAGAAATAAGACCACACATCTACAACCATCTGATCTTTGACAAACTTCACTAAAACAAGCAATAAGAGAAAGGATTTTCTATCTAATAAATGGTGCTGGGAAGACTGGTTAGCCATATGCAGAAAATTGAAATTGGACCCCTTCCTTACATCTCATACCAAAATTCATTCAAGATGGATTAAAGACTTAAGTGTAAAACTCCAAACTACAAAAATCCTAGAATAAAATATAGGCAGTACCATTCAGGACATAGGCTCGGGCAAAGATTTCATGATGACATCACCAAAAGCAATTGCCACAAAAGCAAAAATTGACAAATGGGATCTAATTAAACAAAAGAGTATCTGCACAGCAAAAGAAACTATCATCAGAGTGAACTGGCAACCTACACAATGGGAGAAAATTTTTGCAATCTATCCATCTGACAAAGGTCTAATATCCAGAATCTACAAGGAACTTAATCAAATTTATATATAAAAAAACCCAAATAACCCCATTAAAAAGTGGGCAAAGGACGTGAACAGACACCTCTTAAAAGAAGACATACATGTGGCCAACATCACTGATCATCACTCAACATCACTGATCATTAGAGAAATGCAAATCAAAACCACAATGAGATACCATCTCATACCAGCCAGAATGGAGACTATTAAAAAGTCAAGAAACAGATGCTGATGAGGCTGTAGAGAAATAGAAATGCTTTTTCACTGTTGTTGGGAATGTCAATTAGTTCAACCATTGTGGAAGACAGTGTGGTGATTCCTCAGAGATCTAGAATCAGAAATACCCTTTGACCCAGCAATCTCATTACTGGGTATATACCCAAAGGAATAGAAATTCTATTATAAAGACACATGGACACCTATGTTCATTGTAGGACTATTCACCATAGTAAAGACATGGAATGAACGCAGATGCCCATTGATGATAGACTGGACAAAGACAATGTGGTGCATATACAGCTGGAGGCCGTTATCCTCAGCTAACACAAAACCAAACACCACATGTTCTCACTTATAAGTGAGAGGTGAAGAATGGGAACACATGGACACAGGGAGGGGAACAATACACTGTGGCCTGTCATGGGAGCCAGGGGAAGGGAGAGCATCAGGAAAAATAGCTAATGAATTTGGGGCTTAATACCTAGGTGATGGGTTGATCTGTGCAGCAAATCATCATGGCACATGTTTACCCATGTAACAAACCTGCACATCCTGCACATTTATCCTGGAACTTACAATTAAATTAAATTAAATTAAAGGGAAAAAAAGATGACCTGTTACAGAATGGCTTTCACAAGAATGAGACCAAGGATGAATTTACCCCCCTGTGCTCAGTGTGACTCAAGCTCATAAGAGAGTAATAGTCTAATGTTCATCTCCACGTTTTACAGATACTAACACCACACAGAGGGTCTCTGGAAGTGCTGGAATGCCCCCAGATGTCTGAGCACTCTGTCCTGTCCTGATCTTCAGCTGAGTGTGGGGCAGGGGCTGCTGGGCATGCTGAATGCAGGGCCTCCCTCCTCTTCAGGCCCCATTAGATTGGAACAAAGCCTGAGGAGAAACCTGTAGCTCCAAAGAGGATGGGAATAGAGGTGCTAGCAGATGCCAATGGCCAGTGATTTCTGAAGGTGGAGGGGATACAGGATGTGGGAGGTGGGGCAGGGTGAAGGGGCACATCCAGAGATGCTCAGAGATCAATGGTGGAGGCCAGTGTCATCTTGCTGAGGGTCCTCAGAGCATTGCTGAGCCAGGAAGTTGAAGGGAGATAGATGTGGGGCTGAAAATGGGTGGAGGGCTGATGATTCCAGCTGTCCATCAACAAGTGCCTGGCAGCAGCCACCTCTGCAACCCGTGTCTGGCAGGTTTCCCTGTGGAGAAGCCAGCAGGTTCCCAGGCAGTGTCAGAGGATTCTCATTCAAGGCCCTGCAGTCAGCAGCCTGGGTGTGGCCACAGCTTTTAGCATGGGTCTGGGGCCCCAGGGTAAAATCTTACTCTAGCATTGATTGCAGTGTTTCGGGGAACGGAGGGATGCTAACCTGCTGCCTGCTTCTCATCCATCTGTCCTAAATCAAGCACAGCCACACCTGCTTTGTGGATCCCCTCCCAGCTCACCTTTCCACCTGGAGGACCCCACGGAAAACCCACAGCATCCCATCCGAATGAGCCACTGGTGCTTAGACACGAGTGAACACCCACACATCTCAAGACGTCCTGAAAAAACCAGTGACAGTGAGGAGGATTCATAAAGGTGACAGCTGACCTCGGAGGAAACAGCTAAAGAAAATTAAGTTAAAGATCTAATTATTGTCCTCAGAATATTCAAGAAAATATGCATGTTGGTAACATAAGAACGGAATAGTATTTAAGAACAGGCAGAGAGCAGGAAAGACATTTAAAATATGATTGCTGAACTGAAAATCCCACAAAAGAGATGAATGTTAGGGTCCAGGGAGGTTTCCAGAATACACCTGAGAAAGAAAGATGGAGAATTCTCAAGGAGAGATTCCAGTCCTGTATGATGAGCTGAGGAACTGCCATATGATGGAGTGATGGAATGATGGAGATGATGGAGTGATGGAGATGATGGAGATGGTGGAGATGATGAAGTGATGGAGATGATGGAGTGATGGAGATGATGGAGATGATGAGATGATGGAGTGATGGAGATGATGGAGATGATGGAGTGATGGAGATGATGGAGATGATGGAGTGATGGAGATGATGGAGTGATAAAGATGATAGAGTGATGGAGATGATGGAGTGATGGAGTGATGGAGATGATGGAGTGAGGGAGTGATGGAGATGATAGAGTGATGGAGATGATGAAGTGATGGAGATGATGGAGTAATAAAGATGATAGAGTGATAGAGTGATGGAGATGATGGAGTGATGGAGTGATGGAGATGATGGAGTGATGGAGTGATGGAGATGATGGAGTGATAAAGATGATAGAGTGATGGAGTGATGGAGATGATGGAGATGGAGTGATGGAGTGATGGAGATGATGGAGTGATAAAGATGATAGAGTGATGGAGATGATGGAGTGATAAAGATGATAGAGTGATGGAGATGATGGAGTGATAAAGATGATAGAGTGATAGAGTGATGGAGATGATGGAGTGACGGAGTGATAAAGATGATAGAGTGATGGAGATGACGGAGTTATGGAGATGATGGAGGTGATGGAGATGATTGATTGAGTGATGGAGTTGATGGAGATGATGGAGTGATGTAGACGATGGAGATGATGGAGTGACAGAGATGAAAGAGTGGTGGAGATGATGGGTGATGCCTCGAGGCTCTCAGAAATCTGCTTTTATGCTAGACCCTAAATTAAGTGTGAGGGAAGAATGGAGGTGTTTATAGTCTACTATGGACTCAGAAAATTTAGCCCCTGTATGGTTTCTTCAGAGCAAGTTGGCTGAATTCTGACTATCATAGTCGGAAGTCTGGGGCAGACCCTATCTAAGATTAGTGAGTAGAAAGTGGTGTAAGAATAGGAGGAGATTGGAAATGCCTGGCCGGAGGAAATAGTCAAAGTGGTTGCCACATGGGTGGATGGGGAGATGGCTGAGGCCAGCACTGCCACCTCCCAGCACAAGCCCTTGGCATTTTTAACCAAATGTACATGTTGTGCTGCTTTTAATGTTGCTTTTGGCAGGAAGGTCCGTGGAGCATTGACACCATCCCCCTCACATAGCCTTTAGTTCTCTGAGTGGC